TGGTCGCACTTTTGCTTGAATTCACTTACTAAATTCTGACTTCTGGCCAGATCATCTTCCAGGCATTTAATTTTTCTATGGTAGTCCTGTTCCGTTTTCGTCTGTTTATGCAAGTGTTCGTTCGTGTTACGCAACTGGTCTTTAAAACCATCTGCCTGAATTTTCAGCGTTTCACATCTTTGCTGGATGGCTTGTTTTTCTAAGACCACATTTGCCGATTCCGCCTGAATTCTCTGCATCATTAATTTGGTTTCGTTATTCTGTCTCGTAAGTTCGTCTACTTTTTGTTTCAGGATTTCTGCACATGCGTTACTTTTCTCCAGTTCTTCGTTAAGCCTTTGGATTTTTTCATTATTTTCTTTCTCAGCCTTAATATTCTGAAGTAACTGTGCCTGGCTTTTCTGAAACTGGTCTTTAAGATGATCTGACTCTCTCTGGCAGAGTAGCATTCTCTCATTAGAAGCTTCCTTCTCGTTCTGAAAAGAGTGAACTTGTGAATTCAGGTGCTGAATATTCCTCTCCGTGATCGCGTGAGTCCTTGTGATTCTGTCGACTTCCCTCTGCAGTTTCCCTTTCTCCTGCTGAAGAGACGCCAATTCTACCTCATAACTGTGCTTTATCTTCTTGAGATCATTGGCTTCTTGCATGACTTCTTCGGCTTTACCCGTGGTTTGGTTCAGCTGCCAACTCAGTTCCCTTAGCTGCTGGGAATAGCCTTCCTCTACCTGATCTTTCCTTTCTAACTCTAACTTGAGGCTCTTGAGCGTACTGTGGGTTTCGTCCAATTTTTCCTTCAGCAAACGAGCCTTTTCCTCGGATGAAGTTTTTTCAAGCTGGAGGGCACTGAGTTCATACTTCAGTTCTCTCATGTCCTTTTCAGCCTTCCGGTTGGCGAGGGTCAGCTCGTCAACCTGCTGCTTGAGTTCTTCTGCTTTCTGCCTGTCCAGCTCCTTCTGCAGGTCTGTTCCTGGGCACGACGTGGTCTGTGGGATCAAGCACGCGGGCACTGGGTTTTCTCTACAGGAGTACTGAAGTTCCGTGATTTTCCTTCTGGCTTCCAGCTCAATCTTCTGCTTCTCCTTCAACTGCTCCTCCGCTATTTGTTTCTGGAAGGTTAGGTCTTTCTCCATCTTCTTTACCAGCTTCAAGAGCTCTTCTTCATTGTCTCTCTTTCTTCTCAATTCATCCATCAACTTCTGTTTCTGCTGCTCCAAGTCGTTCAGGCTGGAGTCCTTTCGTTTCAGGTGATCTTCCAGCGTCCTTCTCGTCACGGTGCTCTCCTCTATCTGGTTCCGGAAATTCCGCAGGTTCTCTTCCACGGCCGCTCTCCTGGCTTCTGCATCCGACGTGAGCTTCCTCACCCTCTCCAGCTCTCGTTCTGCAGCTTCCTTCTCTCTCACGATGGTCTCCAGCTCCCAGCGGTACTGCCGGGCTTCGCTTTCAGCCTTGGTTTTCTGCAGAGCGATGTCTTCCACGTTCCTCTGTTGCTTTCTCAACTCGCTCTCTGCAGCCTCTCTGACCTTGGGAAGTTCTGCCTCGATCCGAGACTTCTGCTTCTTCAGGTCAGCTACCATTTGCTCCAGTTCACTGATCTTGCCCGTCAGTTTGTTGTTCTCGATCATCGTGGCCTTCTGCCGCTGCAGCAGATCTGAGTAGGCCCCGTGTTCAGAGGTCTCCTTACACATTTTAATCTATAAGAGATGTTCAAAAGCATGACTCCTGGTCCACCCACGATTAGTTTTTAAAAATACAAAACAATGATGATAAAAAGTACTTCCAAAAAAAAGTGGACTCAAATGCTATCACGGACACTGCTGCAGCTGGCGTGACCACCACCATCACCTCTTACCACCACCATCACCTATTAACACCTTCTTGAGAGAGAGAAAGCATCAGAGAATCAGCAAGAGAAGAAGACAACCCCCCCCACCCCCCGCCATGGCTGTTCACTAAGCTGAAGAATTCATTATTACTTTTGTCTCTCAGGAATAGCTTTGGATTTAAAAATTACCCGGCTCAGAATTTTTAGAGCATGGACATGGAACATGACAGATGCAGACCATTATCCAACTCTGCACCGATGAGGAAACTGAGTCATGGGGAGGTTAAATAATTTTTAGAACTTAACCAGTGGTGACAACATGGGAATGAAACCACTCAGAACAATGCTCTTTCTGTTTTCATGGGTACAACTTGACACTATCCACCAAAACCACACCACGTAATAGGAAGCAATGGCATTAACGAATTTTCGTTTTCAACTTCTTGCTAGTCTGCAAGAATTTTGAAAGAACATTTACATCCCCCGTTTTATGGTCACAGAAACAAAGCACAAAATTTTGGAACGGAGAGTCTCAAGAGAAAAAAAATAAAATAACATGGAAAAGGAAGAAAATCGTATTTAAAAAATTTGAGTCAAATTCCGTACTTGTTGACACATGCCATGTGATGTAGATTACTAATGCAAAGGCAGCTGTGGTCCCTGATGGCTTAAGAAAATTTGTGCTTCATGTACTCACAGGCTTTGTTGTTGTGAATGATATCCTTCACATGAATCCACCTTGACAAATACTTCTAGATACTCCATAAATACAAAAATATATGTTAAGCAGAAGTAATGTGACAAACACACCAAAGGATTCAGCTCCATTTTGTAAAATAAAAATATAAGAAATATCTTGCTCTATTGATAACAAATCAGAGCTCAGCTGGGAGGAACTTACACTGACTCTGGAACTCCAATATCAGATTGGATCATTCATAAATACAGTTTAATTTCACTCTATTAATATCAGAAGGTTGTTAGTTTCTTAAATCATCATAAACATGAATTATTTAAATAGAAGGAAACACATAAAATCATCATAAATATGAATTATTTAAATAGAAGGAAACAAATTATTCCAGGGAGCAAAGCACCTCCTCACTGAGTAGCTTTGATGGATCTCAGAATCGGTATTATCTTTAATATCTATTAAGGTGGATCCAAGTTTCTTAAACTGTGGGTTACAATACCATCTTGAGCACGTAACTAAATATGGGTGCTATCAAAGGTGGCAACAGTAGAATGTTTCTGAGTGTGCAAGGATCGATAATTAATTCAAAGTCAACCCCGCGATGTATTCAAGGTGTTACTGTTAGTGCTTGCTCACTTGAAATTCTAGGGCAAAAAGGAACTATAAGTGAAAAAAAGTCTGACATTCTGGTCTAAATAACTTGTCTTTAGCAAGTTCTAGAAAATTGCTAAGAAACACTTAAATCATATTGCTGATTTGTTTTCTTGTAGATGCAAAACTTATTCACATAAAAGTAACTTCCTTAAGTTTAATGTTTCCAAAGAGACATATGTGCCCCATCTCAGCAATTTTTTAAAATTTTAATTAAATATAAAATATATATCCTTAAATTTTAAATATAAAAATATATATTTTATAATATAAAAGTTAATATAGTTTGCTTGAGAAAATAAACAGCAGAAATCGCCTTACTCATCTAATATCCAATACAGACATGCTACAAACATTTCACTAGTTTAATTTTACCTCCTGAAATTACTGATCTTATGCTTATCGTGGAAATTTTGCTTTCAGATCAAAGCTCCTTACATGAATTTCCACAGATTTACTTTCAAGAATACTACTAAAAATTTTGGGTCAAAATAAGGTATGAAAAATCTTGTACAAAACATTTCATCAATATGGACCTTAAGAATTTTTAATCAGGAATTTGAAAGATCTATTTTATAGTCTTTGTATGGTCTTTCCTAAACCACACTGTTTTGATTTTTAATTAATGATAAATAACTGACACTTAAAAATGATGATCAGCATAGTTTGGACACATCAGATATTTTTGGGAGTTATTTCAGTTCTGTCAACTACTAGCAGCTTACTTCATCAGATATATTAAGAAAAGTGTTGACTCTTATATGTGCAGGTAGATATATGCTACAAGAAAAAATGTTACTTAATTATAATGTTAACTACTAAATATTCCATTTAGAAGGTGCTATTTAAAATAAAATCAGATCTCTGAAACAGCACATATGCAAAAAACTATTTAGAGCGTCACAAATATTCCAGTTTTCCTTCCTATTCACAAAGAAATCTAGATAGAAAGTCTTTCAGTTTGCGACATTAGTGGTTTAGTTGCAGAAAACTCTCGGCTCTGAACAGACTAAAATAGCTTATGAAATCTGTTATCACATTCTTAGAAAGTATAAATTAACAGCTCTGAGACTTTTACTACTGTTCAGGTTTTCCCATTATAGAAACTGTTGTACTCAAGTAGAATTATCTTCAGAATCTCAGCAACAGTCTAATTTCAAAGAGCCAATGCATTCTGTCTACTATTTTTGTCTGTTCTGGTGTTAGGAATTAAAAGCAGTAGCGGGTTAATAAAGCATAGCATAATCCCTTCAAAATCAGATATCACAGTCCTTAGGACAATTATATTTTTCATCAGTAACTCATTCCTATTTCTGAATATATTAAGAGATGGAATAAAAGACACAGAAGTCCTTCAATTTGGAATACTAAACAGTCTTCACCACACACTATACTTTTGGCAAAGATAACAGCAAAACAAGAATTATTAAAATGTATGATCAACGTAAGACCCTCCTACTCTGTGTTTATGTTTTTAATCTTTGAAAATGTAAGTAAATTTAACGTGCAAAAAACAAATATGCATAATCCAAACAGTATTAACTACACTCAAAGAAATATACTTGTCAACTGTAAGAAAATTGCAGTTCCACCAAACTAACATTTCATAATTTAAAGAGGAATGTAATGCATTAATCGCATTTAAAATCTGAGTGAAAGTTAAGAATATTCTTCCATTTTCAAGTTCATTGACATTTTATAATTCAATCATTATTTTCATCACCTACCAACCATGCCAATTTATCATGATCTTTTTTTGTTTGCCCAAACCAAACTAGAATGCCTTTGTATTTGTAGTTCCATTTTAGTTAGCTGTTCATGATTAATGGTTACCTCCTCCTCTTCCAGTCTCTTTAATGAGTCACCAGCAAATTTAATATACTGTGTCATGAGGGTAACCAGAGCAGTATACCGGGTCCTGAGATCCATGAACTGTAAGTAAGGAAAGAAAACAATAAAACTATCAGCTCCAGTTTTCCTAAATGAATGGAACAAATTCTGAGTAACCCTTTTCCCTGTGCTTTGTGAAGTAAAGTCAGAGCTCACCATTAACGGAAATTAGCTGCAATAAGGAACCAGCTTATTATGGTGTGTTAAACAAGACTCAATGAAATGCTCTTCTATGTTTAATCATGGAGTACATCTACTATTCTCTATGATTAATAGTTGTCTTGAATAAAGATTTTCAGAAGGTTTAAAATATACTTTAGAAAATAGAATAGTAAAGAGTTTCTTTGCGGGAAGACAAAAAAATTCTGAAATTGTACAGTTGTCAAAGATGTACCCCATTGTCAATGTGTGAATGTCACTGAAAGAAGGGTGCGTAATCTTTCATGTGAGGGCTCAGAGAGACAGTCCAGCTAGCAGAGCACCCAGTTTTGCACCCAGCCAACCCAGGTTCAAGATGGTACCCCACAAGTCCCCCTGAACCCTTTCCGGAGTAATCCCTGAGCACCCACTGAGTGTGGCCCAAAACAAAAACAAACAAAATAGGTTTAAATGCTACGTTTTCTATTTTGTATATTTTTCAACAAAAATGTACGAACTAAAATTTTGAAAATTCCATCTCTCTTCCCCGACCCATCCTTTGTATCCTTTTATTACCTCTTGAATAATGAGGTCCGCGGAGCTCTGCATTCTTCGGCGTTTCACTGGAGATTTTTGTTGTGAATCCACCATGGCCCGGTAGGTCATTGTCTGTAACTCATAGTCCTGTGTAAGACAGTCAATAGGGTTATGTTAATTAAACCAAAGTGCTAATAAGGTAGAAGCTGTCACAGAGCAATGGAATTTAATTCGATAAAAGAAAAGTATTTTAAGATTATATTCTTTTCCCCCACATATTCTATTTATTACACATAAGACTATACCAAAAATGGAACAGGAAAAGGAATCTAATACATAATTGTTAAATATATACATTTATGTGCCGACTGCAATTTTAAAAGAACTACTGAGATTTCAGACTACTTGTAAACTAATAGCATCTGGACTGAGGTGAAAATAACCTAGAACACGTCAGCCAAACATCCAAAACAACTACTGATATTCACATCAATATTTTTTGCATGAAAAGAGTATATTATTAAAGAATTCGAACAAATCTCCATTAAGCAATTTTACCATAATTAACTGTTTATCTTTAAAAATTCAGGGACTAATTTCCAACATATCTAATTCTATAAAAATACTGCTGTATCAAATATGAATCAATCACAATTAATTCCATTGAAGAGCTGTCTTCCTTCTGTTAAGTACTAATTCAAATTATGGGATAAAGACTACATTCTTAAGAATCTAGCTAATCGTAAGATGTCTTCCAACATGGTGATAAAACCAGTAATGTTTAAAGTGGTCAGGAAAAATTCATGTCTCTTTATTAGCTCAAACATTTTTTTAAAAAATTATTATTAACACTATCAAAATATGTTAGTTATAACCAGATCTCTTTCTTCTAGTTAGGTCACTGATCTGAGAAGTTGAGAAAGAAACAAGGTGCCAAAAAGTACAACTTCAAAAATTATGAAAAGTATCTGCCATGTTAGAAACTTCGGCGTTCTTCCACGAAAGAGGCGGCAAAGTTGGAGTGAAAGAAGGAAAATCTCACATCAAATGCTGTAAGAACAAATTTCAGGGCTGGAGAGATAGCACAGCGGGTAGGGCGTTTGCCTTGCACGCGGCAGACCCAGGTTCGATTCCCAGCATCCCATATGGTCCCCTGAGCACTGCCAGGAGTAACTCCTGAGTGCAGAGCCAGGAGTAACCCCTGTGCATCGCCAGGTGTGACCCAAAAAGCAAAAAAATAAAAAATAAAAAATAAACAAATTTCAGGGCAACATATTTATTCATGTACATGTGTAATATGCATGCATGTGTGTACACAACATGTGTACATATATCTGGGATTGAAGGAGATTAAGTGCATACTACACATGTGTTGAACTGTATTATGTAGCAAATATACACAAAACAGAGCCTATTATTTGATTTCACAAAAAATTACAAGTGTCAGAGCCGGAGCAACAGTACAGCGGGGAGGGCGTTTGCCTTGCACGTGGTCTACCCAGCCTCAATCCCCGGTGTCCCATATGGTTCCCCAGCAGAGCCAGGAGTAACCCCTGGACATCGCTGGGTGTGTGAACCAAAAAGAAAAAAAAATAGAATTCCAGGTGTCAAAGGTTAAAGTGATTCCAAGTATCCAAGGTTAAAGTTAAAATTGTTTTAATTGCCTAACCTGCAGAAAAAATGAAAGGCGAAAAGTTCTAAAATATGATGAGTAGAATAAAGAAACACACACAGACTAGGAGAGATTATTTTCCCACCACATATCTCATAAACTATTGGCATCTAGTATATATAAAGCACAGGTAGAACTTTACTAAAGCATAGGTAGAACTTGACAAGAAAAGAAAAAGAAAAAACATCAGCCCCATGAAAAATTGGGGGGGTGGGAGGAAGGGGAGCAAAAAAATCAACAGAAACTCCCTCAAAAAAGACATTCAGATAGCCAGAAGGTCACTGTCACTGTCACTGTCCTCCCGTTGTTCATTGATTTGCTCGAGCAGGCCCAGTAACATTGTGAGACTTGTTACTGTGGTTGGCATATCGAATACGTCACGGGGAGCTTGCCAGGCTTGGCCGTGCGAGCAGCCAGAAGGTATATATAAAAAATGTTCCGCAACACTTGTCATCAGGGGAAATGCAAATCAAAACAACAACAGATATTACTGTTGTTTGTCACCAGTGAGACTGACATATATCACAAGGAACAAAAACAAGTGTTGGCACGGAGTGGGGGAAAGAAGGCCCTGCCTGGTGGGAATGTCATTGGTTTCCCCATTTGGGAAAATCAATAGATACTTCTCCAAAAAACTAGAAATTGAGCTTCTATGTGATCCAGCAATTCCACTTCGTGGCATCTACCCTAATGACCAAAAAAAAAAACTATTCAGAAAAGACCTATGTTCATTGCAGCATATTCATAATAGCCCAAATCTGAAAAACAGCTAAAATAACCAAAAACAGCGGACTAGATAAAGAAACCGTGGTACATGTTTATAATGGAGTCCTCCTCGGTTTTAAGAAAAGATGAAATCATGCAATCCGTTGCTACATGAATAGACCTAGAAAATATCACGTTGAGTGAGCTTAGTCGAGGAAAGGGACATGGAATGAGGTCTGTAACATATGGGATATGAAGAAACAGAAGAGGTGAATAACATGTGCCCAGAAGCAACCGAAACAGGAAGTGATCTTCATTAGAAAGCTTTCCACAAGGTGGGGTTGGCAGGTGGCAGGAAGGGGCAGTGGCAGTGGCAGAGAAAAGGGGATATTCTGGTGAAGGGTGTGGTACACTGCCATTAACAGTTTTGCAAACCACACAGTGTCTAAAGTAAAAATGTTAAACCATAAACAACAGAAAAACTTAGGTGTACCCATCAAAACCTGCATTTGACGTAACCGATCTTACCTTCACTGTCGTTGAGTATTGTTCTGCGTATTTCTGACATTCATCTATTTTACTCTGCTTCATTTCTATTTCAGACACCAGCGACTGTAAAGACACACAGCTCATTTAAAAAAAGAAAGAAGGAAATTCTATGATGTGCTCTGTTTAAGATGCTTAGGATCTTAAAAAATAATATAGCCACATTGTTTAATATTGGGCCAGAGCAGTGGTACAACACACAGGGCACTTGCCTTGCATCTGGCTGAGCTGGGTTGATTCCCAGTACTCCTGCCAGGAGTGATACCTGAGCTCAAATGCAGAAGTAACCCCCAAGTATGGCCAGGTGTGCCCACCACCTCAAAAAAAACCCCAACAACAAATATAGTATAATTCCTATCCTAAATGTGCAAATTATAAACAGTCAGATTTATGACCAACCAAAAACACACATAGCTTAATATAAAAAACTGCATTTACATACCTTCTGCTGATTTAATTGTGTGGCGAGGGTTTTGCTATTTTCAGGCTGATTTTCCTGAATCTTTCTCTGAGTGGTTTCCACTTGTTGAATCCAGTCATCTAAAGGATGATAAGCATCTCTGTAGTATTTCAAGGATTTGCCAATGCCTTCTAATTCTCGTAGCCTATAAGGAAAATAATAAAAATTAAAAGCAACGGTTTCCAAATAAGTTATTCATTAGAAAGAGGGGAAGGTGCTGAAAAGAAGGGGAACAGGGTACTTTAATACTATAGTGTTTACTATGAAGGATAAGGGAAAAATAACAAGTTCAAAGCTACAGTACCCTGAGGCATACCTCAAAGGCATTTCTTGACTACACTTTGCTTCTGGAATTGTGCAGCTTAGTGGTTTAGATATTTCTTAGAGCACGCCCAAAAAATCAAGGTAAAAAGCAGGGAAATTGTAAACATAACCATAAGCACTATCAACCGGCATATTTCTGAATACTTATGAAAAAGGAGAATCAGTGAATGGCTTATGGACACTCATGAAACTTTTTTAAAAGCTCTATTTTAAAACTTTAGTTTCCATTATTCAAAACCCTTACATTAAGACTTTTACATGTACAGAGAAAAACTAGCTATCTGAACACTACTTCTCAAGAATGGTTACTATTATCATGAAAACGTTTATTTGCACTAATATATACGGGAAAATAAATGAGAGAGAACATTTCATTTTAAGATGAGCCCTAAAACTCTCCCATTTCCTTTCACTTTATTACACAAATAATTTAACTTTATCTTCAGTTACGGTGATCATCAGGTCATTCCTATTTCCTTATACCTCTGAAATCTGATAGACTGCTACATATAGAAATATCAAATGCATCAATGTTGCTCTTATTAAGTGCTGGCTATTTACATACTATAAGACAATGAAATTAAATAACTATATGATTTCCTTCAGAAATGGCAACTATATTATACAAATGCTGAACACATAAAAAATTTTATTAACATAGAAATGAAAAATAGCTTAAAGTTAAACATCTTAACGTCAGTAAGGAAATATAATTAGGTATATTAACACAAATATAAATATAGAAGCTAATGTATGAAATAAACTATAAAATTTTATTAATATATTTTTAAATAATCCAAGTTTAGATTTTACTTAACGTATACAAATAGACATGAAATTGGTGCTAAAAATGAAAAAATATAAACTAACCTGTTGTCAATCTGAACATGAACATTTTGCCACCTTTCAACCAACTGATCTGCTTTTTCTTTGTGCCAGTCAAAGTCAAGGTCCCGTTCTTTGTATGTCTTAAACATTTCATCACTGATGGCCTTTGCTTTCTGCAACTCGTCCTCTAATGCATGGAACACCTCTCTCTTTTCATCTACTTCAGATCTCCATTGCTACAATAACGTTATAAAAATGTGTCAGTCACTCAACAGGCAAACATATTATTCCCTTTCCCTTTACAAATGATTTTACAATGACATTAAACCTGATAAAGAAAGAATACATTTTGCATACACAAATGCATTAGGCTGAATGCAAAGCAACTGTAACGACTTAAAAAAACATAAATTTTATAAAATTTGACCTAAAATGATCTGTGTATTAATAAAACAAAAGTATGTTCCATAAGCAAGTTCAAGCTACCAGCTGTCTTTTTCCAATGCTTATTTTTTAAATATCCGCTAAAATCTTTTTTTATTTCTTTTGGACCAAAGCCAGGTGTGCTCAGGGCTGACTACCGGCTCTGTGCTCAAAGACCACATCTGGTGGGATTCACGGAACCAGGTGGGTTGCAGGGATTGCACCCGGGTTGATTGCAAACAAAGCAAGCACACCCCCTGCTATACTATGGCCCTAGCCACTCTCCATCTCATCGTTTAAAAATGAAGGCACAATTAAAAATAAAGTATAATATTTTCAATTATTTTAATGGCTTTATTCAGCTTGCTAAATAGAACTCACACAGATGGGTATCAGAGCCAAACTTTTCTTTTATTAACTCTGCTACTCACCTCAATTTCTTAAAATATATCCTTCTTTCGGTAAAAGAACTTATTACAAATCACCTACCTTTTAATTTCAATTCCCTTTACTGATAACATCAATCAATTATGAGTAAAAAGGGACATATTTATGGGCTGGACATAGTTAGATGGCTCCAAGAACTGGAACAAAAGTGCTCATACCAGAGGTCTAGAATTGATCCCCGACCTAGCACACAACAGGGTCCCAGACGCACTTCCCAAGTGATGCTCCCAACATGCCAACCCCACTCCAAGCTTAACACAGCCCCTAAGCACCATAGCTCAAAGTCCCTAGCTCACACACACAAAAGTATTTTCAGAAATATTTGAATAAGTCAAACTCAGGGAATTAGAACTGACTCAATTGCATTGCAGGTAGGGTGTTTGCCTTACACGCGGCCGACCTGGGTTCGATTCCTTCATCCCTCTCGAACTGCCTGGCAAGCTACCGAGAGTATCCCACCTGCATGGCAGAGCTTGGCATGCTCCCCGTGGCGTATTCAACATGCCCAAAACAGTAACAACAAGTCTCAAAATAGAGACGTTACTGGTGCCCATTCGAGCAAATCGATGAACAACAGGAGTTCAGTGCTACAGTGCTATAGTAAATTACATATACTAAACGGTGGCACCAGGAGGTCAAATGAAAGTAAATGTATTTCAGTCAAGACAACTAAATGCTGATGTTTGAAGATCTACAATGCTAGAGGATGAATATTATCTTCAAAGACAGTCCATACCTTTAAAGTGCTTATTAGGTTTTCGATGTTATTCTTGTCGGCTATCACTGTTTCTTCCTCACACAGTTTAGTTTCATAGAGTTTCACAAGAGCTTCTGCAGACTGAGTGTTTTTTAATACCAAATTAACAGTTTTCAATCTAAAAAAAAAAAAGAAAATTAAACAAGAGCCTCTGGGTCAACATTACTTTTATCATAACACTTTCAGGAAGTACCATTATGGCCTACGAGGGAGCAAACCCTTCGTCCTGGAATATTCACAGGTTTGCTAAAGGGTCATCGCTTGAAATCCCCCTCTACTTAATAGACACCACGTATTTAAGCTGATACTCAACAAAGCAGCACTTGGCAAGAGATCCCAGCATGAGATCCTTTTTTTTTTTTTTTTTTTTGCTTTTTTGGGTCACACCTGGCGATGCACAGGGATTCCTCCTAGCTCTGCACTCAGGAATTACTCCTGGCGGTGCTCAGGGGACCATATGGGATGCTGGGAATCAAACAGGGGTTGGCCGCGTGCAAGGCAAATGCCCTACCGGTTGTGCTATCTCTCCAGCCCCCATGAGAACCTTTTTTATCAAAACTCTTTTAAGTCAGACATATAAGCTACAAGCAGTAAGGCACAAAAATGATAAGCAAAATGTAGGGCAGTCATAAATGATGCCCTAAGACTGGGCTACATTCCATTTCCCGTGAAGAAGGACCCAAAGCTAGAGAAATATTTAATATGGTGGTGATCAGGATAAAAGAGAACCAAATACGTCTAGTTCATCAAATACAGGATGTGAATAAGACATGTCCATATCTATATAATTCTTCTCCGAACCCAACGCATTAAGGCAGCGCTGGCGTACTTATCAATGTAGGTAGAAGACATCGAATAGACTTGGTTCAGGCTCTGAATGACCACGCTGAGTTCCGATCGTAAGGTTGGAACTGACGGAGCATTCGCCGCTTGACTGAAGAAATCTTCACATTTACTTGTGATTGTTCCTAAGTCGTCTTTGAGTCGCTCCAGCTCTTTGTTTAGTTTCTATACAACAGAGAAGAAACACAGGAACTAGATTATCTCCCCAAATGAGATATCTTCCTTAAAGCAATTTAAAAGCACTCATTGTACGTGATTCTTAGTGACTTAACTACCTACATAATTTTATTTTTTTTAAATTGAATCACCATGAGATACAGTTACAAAGCTATTCAGTCTATTATATTCCAATACCCCTCGCTCTGCCAGCGTACATTTCCTGTCACCAATGTCCCCCCCTCTCCCTCCTGCCTCCCCCCCACCCTCAGCCTGTCTCTATGGCAGGCACTTTCCTTCTCGGTGTGTCTCTCTGTCCCTCCTCTCTCTGTGTGTCTGTCTCTTTGTCTCTCCCTCTCCCTTCCCTTCCCTTCCCTTCCCTTCCCTTCCCTTCCCTTCCCTTCCCCTTCCTTCCTTCCTTCCTTCCTTCCTTCCTTCCTTCCTTCCTTCCCTTCCCTTCCCTTCCCTTCCCTTCCCTTCCCTTCCCTTCCCCTTCCTTCCTTCCTTCCTTCCTTCCTTCCTTCCTTCCTTCCTTCCTTCCTTCCTTCCTTCCTTCCTTTTTTCCCTTCCCTTCCCTTCCCTTCCCTTCCCTTCCCTTCCCTTCCCTTCCCTTCCCTTCCCTTCCCTTCCCTCCCCTACCCTCCCCTCCCCTTCTCTCCCCTTCCCTTCCCTCCCTTTCCCTTCCCTTCCCTTCCCTTCCCTTCCCTTCCCTTCCCTCCCCTCCCCTCCCCTCCCCTTCTCTCCCCTTCCCTTCTCTCCCCTTCCCTTCCCTCCCTTTCCCTTCCCTTCCCTTCCCTTCCCTCCCTTTCCCTTCCCTTCCCTTCCCTTCCCTTCCCTTCCCTTCCCTTCCCTTCCCTTCCCTCCCCTCCCCTCCCCTCCCCTTCCCTTCCCTTCCCTTCCCTCCCCTCCCCTTCCCTCCCCTCCCCTCCCCTTCCCCTCCCCCTCTACTCTCTCTCTCTCTCTCTCTCTCTCTCTCTCTCTCTCTCTCTCTCTCTCTCCCTCTTTTGAGCATTATGGTTTGCAATACAAATACTGAGAGGTTATCCTGTTTGTTTCTTTACCTTCTTTTCAGCATGCAGTTCTTATCCAGAACGATCATTGGCAACTATCTTTGTCACAGTGGTCCATAGTTATCCTAACTGCCTTTTCCCCAAGCACTTGAAGCCGGCTTTTTACCCTGGGCCAATCCTTCTGGCCCCTGCTTTTACTGTCCTTGGGTATTAGTCTCATATTATGGTGTTTTTTTTACATCCCACAAATGAGTGTAATCATTCTCTGTCATGTCTCTCTCCTTCTGACTCATTTCACTCAGCATGATACTCTACATGTCCATCCATTTATCAGCGAATTTCATGACTTCATTTTTCCTAACAGCTGTATTCTATTGTGATAACCTACGTATTTCTTGAAACTGTTATAATCAATATTAAAACCAAGTTTATGATCAATGATCCCTTTATTGTTTATCACCTCAAGTCGAAACATCTAACTTAATGCTTCTGTATAGATGCTTTTGTATATGATGACTTGATGACTTTCACAAAAAGACCACATAATTTCCATCATTACAGAAAAGGGTACATATATTTCTGTGTTTTAACCTACATATATTTCTGTACATATATTATATGTAAGGGTACATACACTTCTGTGTTTTAAATTTTAAATAAGAGGAAACTTATTTTTAAAAACCCTGGTTTATTATTACTAAAAAAGTAAAAATCAGACCTCATGAAGTGATTGCTGAGCGAAGTTTGAATGTGTAAAAAGTCACAGGTATCAAAGATCAGGATCTAAAGATAGAAAGTCACCTTAAGTTAATTTTTCCCCATTATATGTATAAATCTCACCTCCTGCTCTGTAATTCTGAACACACTTTCATGCAAATCATCTCTTTCCAGTGGAGTTCGGATCTGTCTAATTAACCGATCTTCACAGTTCTCCAACCGAAGTCTAATGTTTCGAACTTCAGAGATGTAAAGATTATAAACAGATTCCTCTTGCTCCTCTGTAAAAATATAATATTTAGGGAAGTAGGTGCGCTGTTGATGGGTGTGGTACTGGAATTAATATGCATGGGAAAACATCAATAAAAGTACTGCAAATCACGGAATCATAATCAGTAATTAAAAAATACATATAATGTTAGAAAATAGCTTGTTTTCTATCTTTTGGATGCTCTTGTTCATATCTTAATATATTACCATCACAAAGGTACCCTAAGGCTACATATAAATCTTAAAGAGAGTTAGGAAATTTCCCCAATGACACTTGAAATACCAATTTTCTACTGTTTTATGTTTGAGCAATATAATATATGGCTTTATTTTGTGTTCGGACAATAAGAGTTAATTACAAATAGTTTCAAATGAATTCTAAAAGTAAAATCAGTATCTTTCATAACGAAATATTAGGTAAATAGTGTTTATGTTTAAAACAATAGCACTGTAGCACTGTCGTCTCATTGTTCATCGATTTGCTCGAGCAGGCACCAGTAACGTCTCCATTGTGAGACTTGTTGTTACTGTGTTTGGCATATCGAATACGGCCAGGGTAGCTTGCCAGGCTTTGCCATTCGGGCAGGACACTCTCAGTAGCTTGCCGGGCTCTCCGAGAGGGGCAGAAGAATCGAACCCAGGTCATCCCGGGTCAGCTGTGTGGAAGGCAAACACCCTACCCACTGTGCTATTGCTCCAGCCCATTGAAAACAATATTAAGTAAAATGTTATCGGTAAAGTTTTTGCCTCCAAATAACAGTGAAAGAGTTCAGAATTGAGTTTGTACTTAACAAAAAGCTAACTAGACAAGATCTTTTTCTTTAGTCCTTAGGTAAAATCCAAGTAGTGGTGAGAAATCACTACACCTTCATCTGAATTTCACTATGAACCTCAAGTCCTTTAAGCCAGAATGTACATGCTTCATATATATAATCCCTACCACCAAAAATAAATATTATTTGTAATCTCAAGTTTGGTACATGGGGGGATATGTACACATAGATATAAATATATAGATATATAATATATATATACTAATCCTTTTCTGACATAGAAAACTTTTCAATCTGAATATCACATCACAAAATGGTGAAAATGTTGAGAAATGAATTCTTTTCTATTTTTTTGATGGGAGGCCACAGTGCTCAGGAGTTACTCTGAGCATGGTTCTGCACTCCCAGCAGAACTCAGGTTCTGCACTCAGTAATCACTCCTGGCAGACTCCGGAGACCAAATGGGATGCCGAGGATTCAACTAAGGCCTGCTACATGCAAGGCAAGCATACTACCCACTATACTATCCCTTTGGCACAAAAAAGTAGCATTTTTAAAACAAACATTAAGCATTTCTTTGCCATACTATTTGATTGGCATCATTAATTCCTCATTTAGAAATAAACCGACTGCTCTTTTGCATCTCCCTAATGCAAACAAGTTCTCAGCATTTCAACTACTGTATCAGAGGCCAAGTAACAAAACACTTAAGACTGTAGGTCTAACCTACACACCGATGGCCAAAAAGACAAGGATTCCCCGGATTTACCTCTTTCTGCAGATTTCAGAAGTTCTTGATAGTACTGTTTACATACGTTGACTTCCTTTTCCAGTTGTGTTATATCTGAGCCAGAAAATATTTGGGATTCCTGACTATCTTCCAGAAAATCTTCAAATCGAGACTGCAGATTACTCAGAACTTGTTGGTGCTCACCAGGTAACATGGTTTTGATCTGAAGGGTATCAAACATAATTAAATGTGTAAAGTACCAAATATTTATGTGAGACTGTTTCAAGTTGGTTTTACAGCATGGAATCAGTTTATATTAAGATTAATACATAGAAGGTCCATTTGAAATTAACCTTTTCATTAAGATTTTGAAAGACAAGAAAAAGCAGCCCTATCAATAAATAAAATCAGACTATGCCAAACACTGTATCTTTTCTCTCGGTCAAAGGCACTGAATGAAATATGTAATCTGTTGACTTCTGCAATACACAAAAGTGCCTCGTATATGGCAGGTATTATCAAACATCCAATAAACTTAATTAATATTTCCATGGATCTGCCAGGCTTTCTACTACAAGGCCACAATTCTCAAAGTTGATTACAGACTGGAGTTACAAGAACAAATCAGAAAAATACCGCAAAAAGCAAAGAGAGGCCAGTCAATAGTGTATACAGCAAGCAGTCTTGCACATTGTGAACCTGGGGACAAACCCTGGCACCACATACGATCCCCCAAGGCATGTCAGCAGTGATCCCTGAGCAGAACCCAGGTAAGTCCTTGGCAACACCAGGTGTGGCCCAACAGACAGAAATATTGACTCGGAGGTCACACCCTCAGAAATTATTCTAATGTGACTGCCATGGCTTTGTTCTGGCCTCAACCATGTTATTAGAAGTATAAAGTTCGGGGCTGGAGCAATAGCACAGCAGGTAGGGCGTTTGCCTTGCACGTGGCTGACCCGGGTTCAATTCCCGTATGGTCCCCTGAGCACCGCCAGGGGTGATTCCTGAGTGCAGAGCCAGGAGTAACCCCTGTGCATCACTAGGTGTGACCTCAAAAGCCAAAGCAAAAAAAAAAAAAAAAAAAAGAAGTACACAGTTCAAGAAACATATTAGGAATTAAAAGGCATTCAGGACTTCCAAAGCTCCCTAAGTGTGTGGCCGGAGCGAGAGCACAGTGTGGGGTGGGGCAGACACTTGCCTTGCACAAAGCCAACCAGGGTTCAATCCCCGGCATTCCATATGACCTCCTGAGTACCACCAGGAGTAGTTCCTGAATGCAGAGTCACGAGTAACCCCTGAGCATGGTCAGGTATGGCCAAAGAAACAAAACCTGAAAGTTCTCCACGTGCTTCATATAAGGAGGAAACTTTGAGAACTTCTGTTCTAGAGTGAATACAAGGTCTACCCTTTGTAGAAAGGTTCTCCCTAATATTTTTTTTTAAAGATTACTCCTCTGCCCCTCTCAGAGAGCCTGGCAAGCTACTGAGAGTATCTCAATATGCCAAACACAGTAACAACAAGTCTCACGATGGAGACATTACTGGGTCCACTCGAGCAAACTGATGAACAATGGGAGGACTGTGACCATGACCATAATAGATTACACCGATATGTGAATTTATACTTACAGAAGCCACATTGCTCGCACGAATTCTGTCAATTTCATTGACCAGGTAATGCCAGGATACCACACTCTTCATGTTTATGTGAGACTCGTGCCAAAGAGTCAGGACATTCTGATACTGCTGCTCAATTCTGTAATAATTAAAAGAATATATATATATGTATATATATGAAGGCTTTTCACTCTCCTGTGAAACACACACTGCAATTTTTCTCGCTAGCAAAATACCCCGCATTCACCAGTTCTCCATCTTTTTGATCCTCTGCCCGTTGACATAGCATTGACAGTACCTATCACGCACGTGAGTCTCCCAAACTCAGGCACACTAACCTGTTTGCAAAGTCAACAGCTTCTTTGTTTGGTGGGGGAACTGTGAAGCATACAGAAGGGACCATAGCCTCATTCCCAGTCGGGCTGATGACCTTCCACTTGGCACGATGAGAGTTGTTGGCCAGAACACATTCATCATCTTTGAAAATCGTGATCTGGTTTTCCAAAAAGAACACAATTACCTGATGTTGACCAAAAGTTTTCCACTAAAAGTTTTCTATCTTGGGCTGTGTGTGTGTGTGTGTGTGTGTGTGTATTAGGCCGTGTATGTGTGTGTGGGTTTGTTAAGATTAAAAAATAAAACCCACTGTAGTACTAGAGAAACAATACATCTCCTTTTAAAATAGGTGCTATGTGCTCGAGGACGAAATTAGATCTATTTCCAGGAACTGCAATTACCTCAATTTGTCTGTAGTCACAAATAGCTTTGATTGGAATAGAAGTCTTGAGCGGGCAGTCAGGGTTCCTTGGCTTCAGCTGAATTATTGTTTTCGCTCTTCCCATCAGGCTGGCCACTGTACTTTTATACTGCAAAAGCTCTTCTTTCTCTTCCTGTGTAAAAAACATCGTGAACTTTAAAAAGTCAAAGACCTGTACTCTCTGTTCTGACAAGGCTTTATATGCATGTGACTTCCTCACCAAAGCCTTTCTTGACTATCTAGCCTATGTTTTCAACCCCTTCTTCCTACTCCGCCTATATTCATCACCCCGTGTTTTATTTGGGCAGGGGACTTGGGGACAGCACGCCCAGCAATGTTCAGGGGATGACTCCTGGCTCTGCACTCAGGACTTGCTCCTGGTGGTGCTCGGGGGACCACAAAGGATTCCAAGGACTGAACCTGGGTCGACCGCATACAGGGCAAGCGTCTTACCTGCTGTACTATGGCTGTGGCCCCCCATCTTCCCTTGTTTTGTTCGTTTGGTTGGTTTGATTCCCCGCTGCTTTAGCATTTACTACCACATAAGACACAATACTTTACTTATCGGTCACGTTTACATTCTCTTCTCCTTCTAGCACATAAGTACCGCAACAATAAAAGTCATGTCTGATTCCTTCCCCTCTCTAGCCCCTGCAGCTAACTATAGTAGCCGAGATCTAGAAAGTCTCGAACAAGTATTTACGGAATGAACAATGACTAAACGTATACACACTTAGAACACTGCCAATGCGTTTTAAGATATTCAGGACATGACATGAAAAATACTGTATTGGTTACAAAAAGCACTAAAGCTGAATGTTTAAAGTGTTAAAGTGTTCGAATGAAAAATGACGTGGAGACAGTAAGAGTATCAGAAAAATATGAAGTTCTGAAAATATAAAACCAGAATAAAATAATGAATGACTCCCACTTCACATCAGTGAATGGTCTGAGCTTCTGAATTTATACCATTGATTCCTGAACCAGGTCTTCCAGCTTGTGAATGCTACTTGATCTATCGCAGCTGTATTTCCGCTGGATGGCATCTTTGAGATACTTTAGGTAATCAGTAGCTTCTTTGGCATCGTCGAAAAACTAGGGAAAGATGAAAAAGGGCAGTTAACAAAAACACTAATTCAAAATGACATATACATACGCATATCCACTGCAGCACTATGTACAAGCGTCAAGATTGGGAAACAACCCAAATGACTAGATTAAGAAGCTGCGTGTATACAAATTGGAATCCTACTTAGCTACGAAAAAGAATGACGTCTTGCTTTTGACTGCAACATGGATAGAACAGGAGGATGTGATTCTAAACGAAGAAAGTCGGGCGACAGAAATACTAGATGCTTTCAGATGCCAGAAGTGTAGACAGAAACAGAGCAAGGGACTAGACCGGTGTTTGTCAATCTCTTTCTAACCATGATCCCCTTCTTTGCTCCTGTTCTACTGGGTGATCCCTCATCTTCTGCTGTGGTTCCCCTCATTTTTTTTCCTCTTTTCACCTGCAGTCCCCCTGAAACAGTCTGGGGGCTTGCACCCATATGCCCTTCCAGTTGAGAAATGCAGTCAAGAAAATAACCAATGAAAATCAACCTTAAGATCTTTCACAACAAAATGGAGGCAGCCAAACAGATAGTAAAGGGTGCGGATGAGATGAGATGAAAGTGGCAGGAAATGATTCACAGAGGGGCGTAGGGATATTGGTATCAATCCCAAACAAATCTTATTGGTGGTACATTGTGGAACCACTGAACCCCAAAAACAGATACACATCTATATTCTGCTACACTGTTACCTTAATAAATGACTATGTCTTTAAAAAGAATAAATGACTAAGTCTTTCATAGTAAAGTATATAAATATCAGTCAGGCAGGGAGTCAAAAAAATTGAGTCCAAGAATTCTACGTATAGGCCTCTGGAGCAAAAAATGGAATAAAATTACAATAGAATTCAACAGTCACAGCTATATTTTAACCAAACAACACTTGAACTTAGGTGGTTATGAATGTAAAGCTGGCCAAGATCTGGCCCAATATTATTTTCATGGAACGTTTGCTCTACTTTAGAGTTCAAACAATTCCTAAATGGAGAAAACTTCCGAAATCATCTTAAAAATTTTGAAGGGGAAAAAAAGGTCTCTCTGTCATAAAAATGCTTCCTTAATAAGAGATCCATGTGGATATTTTCAAGTAGTTTTTAATGGTTTTCCTCCTTCATGCTGTCCTTTCAGACTTGACCCTCAAAGGAAACAGTTCCGTTCATCTCCCTTTACACATCACGCACATCTAGATTTTTATTTAACATCCGTGATTTAAATTATTTATTGTTGCTGTTCGTTTTTCTGGGGGAGTGGGAGCCAAACCCGGTGGGACTCAGGGCTTGCTCCCGGTGGGCTCGGGGTATCATACGGGGTGGCTGGAAATGAACTCGTGTCAGCCTCACGCAAGTCAAGTAAGTGCCTTACTGCTGTGCTATGACTCCAGCCCCTTTTACATAACATATCTGAGCAATGCATTACGAGGAATTTTAAGTCGGGCAAATCCTCATGACACAGACGTGACTCCGTCCACATACCTCAAAATAAGCACAGTTCTCCTTTATGTGTTGCTCCACACACTGGCAGAGCTGTAAGATCCAGCTCCACTGTGTCTGCATTGCCGCTCGGTAGGCCTGCAGGATAAAACACAGTTACCACAACGGGCTGGAAATGAAACACCTCAGCACCCAGCAATGCCTTCGGGATCAAAGGCTCAACTGTCCAGATGATGAGTCACCTCAGCAGAATAAGACCTGACACATCTATGGAGTGAAATGCTGAGTTCTTACCTATACGATTCAGCTCAAGAACCTTAAACATAGTTTATAAAAATGTTTTTTAGATCAATCCAGTCAATACCTTTCCAGTGTTAAACTTGAAATTTCTTAGAATAGATAAGGAAAGCTAATTGGCTATTATTTTCCCATAAAAAAAACATTTAATATCTGGAGTGGAGGCAAACTCGCTTTGGTACAGGGAAAACTGTCCCTCCCCCTCCTCTCCCACCTAATCCTTCCACCTACTTTGTGAAATCCTCAAAGACACCTTCCTTCGCAACATCGTCTTGTCCTTCACCTTTCCTTTCTCTAAATATTTTTAGAGGGTCCCAATAATTGAATCCAGGGACCCAGATATGTAAACCACATACTCTGCCACTGACCAAATCCCATGGTCAGATTTCTCCGAATTTCTATGTATCTGTGCCTGATTTTTCTTTTTACTACTTTTTACAAATTTTTGCTATTGGTTCACAGAAATCGTCTGCTGACACGAGATTATAAAGCTGAATAATTTTTGCTGCTGTTGCTTTGAAACAATCTATGTAGTTCACTACATAGATTTTTCAGAATAGATTCTTGGTGAGAGGGTGAATTATTTGGGATGAGAAACATGTGAGTAGAGCATGCAATCCCATCAATTTTTATTTAAAGTATTTGTTTAGAAGCCAGAGAGATAGCATGGGGATAAAGGTGCCTGCTTCACATGGGGCTGACCCCAGTTCATTCCCGGTGCCACGATGTTCTCCCCGGCCAAGTGTGGCCCCAGAAGCTCCCAAGCATCCCTGGGATAAAACTGGGTAATCCCAGCTACCACAGGGCCCAGGCAGTTCTGCAGCCTCAGGGCTTCTCTGGCCTAGCTGGCAGAGACTTGCTTTAGACATTTTAGACTTGCTGGTCCCTTTAGGGATCCCCACTCCCAACCTCAGTACCGTTTGGAAGATCTATATAAAAAATTTAACCTTGTGCCTACCCTCCGTAACCCCACCAACCTGCACTACTTCGACGATGAGTTCACGAGTCTGCCCCCTGCCCTGACCCCGCCCGATGGCCACAGCCCACTCAGTGCCCACCAGCAGGCCATCTTCCGGGACTTAAACTCTGTGTCCGAGCAGTTCTTAGAGTCCTGAGTGCTCCCCCACTCCCCCCCAGTGGTCCATGGGAGGGGGTCACAAGCCCACCCCACCAGGTCCCAGTTTCTGGTTTTGATACTGGACGTGCTTTGCGAATTATTAAATTTAAATTTATAAAAAAAAAATTAACCTTGTGAAATTAAATATTTATTAACTAGAATTTCTATTTAATTAAAGTGTATCTTCTGGGATTGGAATGACAGTACAGCTGGTAGGGCTTTTGCCTTGCACGCTGCCGACCTGGGTTCAATCCCTGGCATCCCATAAGGTCCCCCAAGCACCGCCAGGAATAATTTCTGAGTGCATGAGCCAGAAGTAATTCCCATGCATTCCTAGGTGTGACCCAAAAAGGCAAAAAAAAAAAGTGTATCTTCTATGAGGGCAAAAATACTATAGAAAGTCCATCTTTAACATAAAACATCCTTGTATATTTAAGGCACAACTTCTTGAGTTCCACAAGAGGGTTCTCAAGGAGTTGTTAATAAACTATCTTGCTTGGCATTTTTCCTTTAGGAAAAACTCCTCTCAGCTGAACCATGCTTGGGCAGGCTTTCTCAACGGAATGCACTGGAAATCTGGCAGCATATCAGGGTCAGATTACCTGTGCCCTCAAATTAAGCTGCTCTGAAAAAATCGGCTATAAAAGACACATTATACTTTGTTATTAGTTTGTCATATAAAACATGAAATTGTGTTCATAATTATTCACATACCGCAAGTCATTAGCCGGGCCAGTCAAATCATAAAGTATTTAACTTTATGCCTCCAAAGTCCTTAATGAGAGTAACGTTTCTACAGAAGTCAGATTCATAATCACATTTTCCATTCCCATCAGTAGTCTAGTTTTTTCTGGGGCCTTGCCAGGCCAGGTTTGGGGGTTATAATACTCAGACTGCGCTCAGGGAAACTGAGGGTGCTGGGTATCAAAGCCAGGACTCCCACATGTAAAATATTAAAAACCTTAACCTCTGATCATATTTTCTAAGAGTTTCATCTCTCCACCCTCAGGGAATACTTACTTGCAGTTTACCCGAGTATCAATGCTTACTATCGTGTCCTTATCTACCCTTGTAGGTTTTGTACACTCTTTCTGTGCCATTTCAAACAGAGGTGAAACCCTATTTTCATGTGAAAAAAAGATGAAATGGAACATTCCCCAAATTTCCTCGTAAGATCTGGAATTTTACTGATATTCTGTGGCATCGTGATTGATTTCAGTGAAATAACTACCCTTATCTGATCTGTGAGCAATTAGAGAAAGGGAATTAATTATCAAATGTCTGTTGTACTTGATGACATACCTCAATAGTTAACCGGGCTGGGTGATTTTCCAGAAGTAGCTGCTCTGCTATCTCCTGTACCGCTTTAATGTTTTCTTCCTTTTGATCAAGCTCTCTCATTAATTCCTGATGTAAGAAAGAACACAGGCGTGTGTTAGGAAAAATGATTTAAATCCAAATACAATTCCAGCACTCAAATACCAAGGTACTTACGGCATGGTAATCTTTTTTCCGAGCTATGTGGGTGTTTCTTTCACTCCAATCATAGGCAACTTCCTCCTCTTCTTTTTCATTCAACCATATAAGTTCATTGGTTGCACGAGTCACAAAATTATGGAGTGTATCAAGGTGCCTCTCCTGATTCCTGGACGTATTCTTTGCAAGAAAAATCAACATAAGAACCATGGCTTTGTTAAAGAGAGGTTAAAAAGAAGAAAATTGAAAGGAAAAACTAAAAATCCTTACCAAGAGTTTTGCATAGAGACTCTCTAATCTGTGCAACTTTTCTGTATAAGTCAGTTTAAGCGGTGCTGTCATCTGGATCTGTAACACAGAATTTATAAGATACCAAGATTAAGAACCTCGAGGAATTCTTAACTTCTCATTTATGTTATTATCTGTCAGTGCGTCTTTATAAATAGAACAAAAAACAAAGGAAGGTCAAGGAAAATACATATAGGTCTTTGAATTTTAATACCTCACTGATCTTAGCTTCTTTAAGGCTCGATTCAAATTCCTCAATAGCTCGATGGACATTTTTATGATTTTCTAAATGGCTCTCCACACTTGGTAAATCTGAACCCCATTCAGTGTGGTCCAGCTGCACCTTCAAATGAAAACAACAAAAAGAGAGCAGATGTGAGAAAGAAACTGAGAGCAGTAAGACTAAAGCTCTCAAGAAAAGTGAAACTTGTACCTGCATCTCATCCACCCAATTTAAAAGGTCCTGGACAAATTTCATGTTTACTTCCTCTTCGGTCAAGTTCTGATCCAGCAGGGAAGACTTGACAAGAGGCTTTCGGATCTGCATCAGTTTGGGCGTCTGCAGTGAATTTGTCTCTATTCCGGAACTGAAGTGTGTCACTAATCCTGATGGGAACCCAGGTGTATAGGCTGGAGTGACAGAGGGAGTCAGTCGGGAGGTCAGACCCGAGGACAGGCCTGAGGTCACACTTGAAGAGGTCAGGGACGGTGTTAAACTCTGGGTCAGCCCTGAGTTCAGACAGGGGTTTAAGGTCTGTGCAAATCCTGAGTTTAAGCTTTGAGTGATTCCTGATATCATGAGCTTTGTCTGTTCCGTCGTCAGCATGCGCCCTTTGCTGTACACGGAAGAACATTCGTTCCTTAAGGCCATAATTTCATCGCGCATTTTTGCAACCCTGGAAGGTACAATATAGAGGCACTTTTGAAGAAAGAATGTAATGTGATATAAGTGATAAACGTTCATTAACAATAACCTATAAATGCCGGTTAATCAATGATAACAAATGTACCACAAACTCACACTGTTAATAAGGGGACAGAGATTTTGAGGATCTACTTTCCACTCATTTCTTCCACAAATCTAAACTGCTCAAGCAATCAAGTCCACTTCTTTAAAAAGTTACTGTAAAATATTGATTAATTATTTATCAATAAGTAATTGATAAATAATTAATTATTAATTATTAATGTGACTCTTCACTGAATTTGTAGTTTGTGCACTTATGTATATTTCTTACCTATAATTTATAGTGAACACAAATGCTATATTTTAATGTGATTTTTCTCTTGCTATTTAAATTTAGGTTACTTCTAAATTTCTGCTATATTTTAATGTGATTTTTCTCTTGCTATTTAAATTCAGGTTATTTCTAAATTTCTGCCACTAGAAATATTTCTGGCATGTATAAAAAGCTTTTCTAGTTTTTATCATAATTTAAATCACTATAATTTCTAAAAGTGAAATCAACAAATGAAAACATCAATTAATATGTTTTACTTAAATATACAACCATATCCATCTCTGGTATAGATAGAGCATATAACCCAAAAGGTTTTATTCCTCCCCTTGTCCCTACTTCCCAAATGTACATGTGTGTGTATGTGTGTATCTTTTCAACAATTTTTCATACAACAGAGAAAGCTGAAAAAACTGAACTAAAAGATACCCTTTTCAGGTGACAGATCACATTAACATTAAGTGATATTAGTTACTGTAATCTTGAAATTATACATATCATAAAAGGTTTCTATTGTTTCCTTTGAAGGATGAATATCAACTTCACACACCAAAATGTGCCAGAATTTATGTGACAGTACTCCCCCACCCAAAAAAAAAGTAATAAAGACGTTTTGTCTCATTGTTCCCCAAACCCATTCCTATCATGAAAGGACCTGGGATGAAAGAGCAGTACCTACCTCTGCACCAACTGATCTGCCTGGTAGTATTTTCCATCAATAAGAATCTGAACATCGATTACATGCTGGCGTAGAAGATTCTCACATTCAAGTATATACCCGGCAATCTCTGCTTCATTCTGAAACTGCACCCCTGATTCCAATCTTTTAGAATCCTGCATTTAAAACACGAAAACACGAACCAAAATGCAGCTTTGATTCTGTGGAATAACTTTCCAAACTTGACAAACAGAATCCTGCAAATATTGGAACTGAAGTCGACTGGGGTTTCCTGCCTTCCCTTTCAGCTCGAACATGCCTTCCTTTCACTCCTGTTTACTCAAGAGAGCAGTGATCAAAATCTTTAACAAGCTTGAAGTGCCAATATTTAATGTCTAGAAAACAAATGCCCATGAATGGCCACGAGTTATGCAGAAGTCCCAATTCACTCATCCATACAAACCCCTCAGTTGCCGTCTCCCACAGGCTCTTAAACTTACACACTGGAGAGCTTTCCGTGCCAGCATTAGTTTGTCTTCACAGATGACACTGTCCCTCTGAACGCGGTTAGCAATCTGCTGCAACATTTCCAACCTGAAAAAAAAAATACATAAATAAAATCAATCCTCTCCTAGCGAAGTCAGCTCACCATCCCGAAAAACGCAGCCGATCAAAAGTAAAATAGAATCTCACACCAACAGTCCACTACCTGTGTCCATTAAAGGATTCATTGCCAAAGCTGATGCAGGAGTTGATCAGCGTTGGACAATTAACGGAGAGAAAATTTTCACTTGAATCAAGACTGGCTCGAGTGCTCGTCGTGTTACTAAACACAGAATCACTGCTATAGTAACTATAAGTATTACTGTGCATTTTTACTCCTGAAATGATGTTCTTTTTTTTTGACGAAAATCGTAGGTTTGAAACAAAGCTCAACGTCTAACGGTGAAAAGTGTCCACTGGAACGTCACAGCGGCGAAGGCTCTTTAAATATGCTCCGACATGCATATTCAACACATGGCAAAGGATATGCTGATAACTATTCAAAAGAATCTTGCCTAAAGCCAGCTAATGTTTGCCTTTTGTAGTCTGCATTAAAACCCTACAAGTATGAACACGGCCAACTGATTGGGGCGTCACCGAAGAAGACAAGCCAAATATTTTCACCAAGAGTCATACAATTGCAACCACCTGAAAAACAACTCAGGTGTCTCACTGAAGCACAGGTAATGATTAGGAGAAGTTATTCTGGAAATATCCAATCATCAGCTAAAAGAACACAAATATTCAATCACATCCTGACTTCTATAAGCTGCAGTTCCGTACTGAAGAACTGTCCCTGTCACTGTCCTCCCATTGTAAATCGATTTTGCTCGAGCGGGCCCAGTAACATTGTGAGACTTGTTGTTACTGTGTTTGGCATATCGAATATGTCACGGTGAGCTTGCCAGGCTTTGCTGTGTGGGCGAGATACTCTTGGTAGCTTGCCAGGCTCTCCGAGAGGGGCGGAGGAATCCAACTCCGGTAAGCCGGACTGACAGTTCAAAGCAAGCATAAATGAATGAGTCTGACGAGAAATAAATTCATTTCCACTTTGACCAGCATGTCATTTGCTTAGGAGGCCAAATGAACTGGAAAAGTATATATCTTTCTTTACATGACATGCTCTCAGTAATATCACGTCTCATTTTAATACAGTGTTTTTTATTGATGAAAGTCTAAGGGCTAAGAAGAATATCCATGCAATGCTTGCAAATTTGTCAGTGCCTGTTTTTTTCCCATTCTATAGGGTATTACAAGGCAAAAGAACACTGGCCATTTCTCATTTGTCTTCTGCACACTCCCAGTTCACATAGCTATTAGTTGCAGTTAATAAATAGTTAGGCCAAAAAACTTGTTGTATCAAGAAATGTAAAAGCATGTTTTCAACCATGCTCCTAAATATTTTCCGACAGTTAACACAACAAACCCAAACTGTTGCTTCTCTACACTAAAGACAAGAATCGAGAAATTTTGTGCTTTCTAATAAGCAGAAAAAGTAAAAGTAATAGTTACACCTAATACTTCTTTGGGATTTTTTTTTTTGCTTTTGGGGTCACACCCGGCGATGCACAGGGGTTACTCCTGGTTCATGCACTCAGGAATTACTCCTGGTGGTGCTCAGGGGACCATTTGGAATGTTGGGAATCAAACCCGGTCAACCGCATGGAACACCCTATCCGCTTTGCTATCATTCCAGCCCCTACACCTAACATTCCTTAAGCAATTATTATATGACAGGATATTACCTCCTCTTTGACATATACTACCTCATCTTATACTCATAACCACAAAATGTAATAAATATCATTAAATCCTGTTTACAAATGAGGAAACTGAGGCTTAGCAAGTTAGGGAATATATCTGATCTTGCATAGCTTATAAATTAAGCTAATAATCTCGTGCAACAAGATGGACTGGTTCCTGAATCTTGAAATCTTAACCAGTGGATTATTTTACGAAAGTATCAAAAATTTAATACCACACGCATTCTTCAAAGATACTTTTTCATTTTTATTTCAGATGATCAGCTTATATATTTCATTTAAATCACCCAGAATTTCTTCCTGTGAGAGACTCATTTTATGAACCTGGGGTAACAACCCAATTGCATAATTGTTTTGGTTCTAACAACCCAATTCCATAAATTTGATATTATTCCATAACAAGAGTCTGGGGAGAAACTTAATAAAGAACCCGCAAATTAGATTCGTTCTTTTTATTTTCAACACGTTATTTCCTATTTCAACACTGAAGCTGCATGTGCGTCACAGCGCCCGTGAGACCAGTCAGCACCTCCAGGCTACCAAGCCCTGTCTTGGGCACCACCACAGAACACTTGTTTCCACATTCTTGAAGCACGCTGCAGCCCTTCTCCTTATGAACACAGAAATCAATACACAATCACCAGCAACACAAAAGTGTGACAAAAGGAACAAAACTGGTCAAACACGAGAATGATACCCAAGACATCTCAATGGGCTGGGAACATCACGGAAAGTTTCTTAAGAAAGTAATACTGGAGCCAAGATCTGAGCGTGATTAGAATGATAAAGATAATGAAATGCATTTCTCTGCCCAAAAAAAAATGGTGTAACGAGCTTGCTCGAGGAGGAGGGTGGGTCCAGCCTGACAGAGCTACACAGTGGCACTGTGGCTGCACAGCAGAGAGCTGGGAGGGCATGGGGTGAGGCCCCAGGGGCTGATGTGCCGTAAGGTCCAGTCCCTAAGGGGTGCACACCTATGACGAACTGCAGTTCCCACATGCCAAGACTCAGGCTGTGGAATAAGGGCTCTGACAGAGACAGATTCATTCTATAACCTCTCCAGGGACCCAGCAGTGCCCTCCCAGGAAACAGGACACAGAAAAAGACTGGGATAATAAACCACAGCCCGGTTTATGTAACTTCCTTTCTTCCACGTGATGGTTTTCTTTCCCTCTCTTTTTCCTCTCTCCTTCATTTTCTCTTTTCCTACTTCCCTCCCTCACACTCTCTATCTCACTCATTTTTTTTTCTAAATAGAACTACTTACCTCTAGGAAGGGTTAAAAAAAAACGCACGTAATGAATATCCCAGGAGATATTCAAAGGGAAAGGGCTGGAGCTCAGTCTCTTCTATTTCATGTGTTCTTGAAACAGAATTCTTACTATCCAGACAGCACTAAAGTATAGTTTCCTAGTTCCTGCTGTTTTTAGGCTTTGGGACCACAGCTGGCAGTGCCCAGGAGTACTGTTGGCTCCGTTCAGGAATAACTTCTAACTGGGTTTGGGGGATGAGATGGGGTGCCAGAGATTGAACCGGGGGCTGGCTGCATGCAAGGCAACTGCCCTACCCACTGGCCTATCGCTCTGGCCCCTAAAATACAGTTTTGATATTGGTCTCCGGGGTGGCTCATGAAACGATGTTTGTGGGTGGAATGTGTGAAGCCTCAATTCAACCCCCGGCCACTGCCTGGCCCTAAGTACATCAGGCATCAATGGGTCGTCTCTGTGCACAGTTACCCAAGCAGCAATAAACCATCAGCTTGAGAATCACAGGAATGGTGCCTGGGTCCCCGTCCCCAGGCACTGTTGGGAAAGTCCAAATAACGAAACAGAATGAATGATGAATTCACGAAAATGCATTTGCAGCACCAGGACAAAAGGGAGTTAAAACTCACACTGATTGGGCATTTTTTTGTTCACTTAATTTCCTTTAAACGAGGGCCAAAGGGTACACAAGTTGGAAAGGCACTTGCCTTGCAAACAGTTGGCCCAGGTTTGATCCCTGGCACTGCATATGGTCCCACAGTATCATCAGGATTGATCCCAGAGTGCAGAGCCAGGAATAAGCTCTGAGACACTGGGGAGAGCCTGCAGGCCCTCCACCCAAAAATCTGTCACTGTCACTGTCCTCCCGTTGTTCATCGATTTGCTCGAGCAGGCACTAGTAACGTCTCCATTGTGAGACTTGTTGTTACTGTTTTTAGCATATCAAATATGTCACAGGGAGCTTGCCAGGCTTTTCCATGCAGGCGAGAGACTCTCGGTAGCTTGCCGGGCTCTCCGAGAGAGATGGAGGAATCAAACCCGGGTCGGCCGCATGCAAGGCAAACGCCCTACCCGCTGTGCTATTGATCCAACCATAATAAATAATAATAACAACAATTTCCTTTAAAAGCAAAGCACATTGTCCACTGTTTGGCTTCCCATGGCTCCATGAAAAACGAGTAAGAGCCAAAAATATAACAAGAAACCAAATAGGTTCACTGTTATATTTTCCTGGTTGACCTATATGTGAATTTCCAGATCTGGGCCTGATGACTTAAGAGCCAGCTTGAGAAATTCTCCTGGGCAATTTTTTTTTTTTTTTGGTAAATGTGTCAGTCTTTTTTATTTTTTCCATTATTTATTTATTTATTTTTTTAATTAGTGAAACACCATGAGGTACAGTTATAGACTTACAAATTTCTGTGCTTGGGTTTCAGTTATACAATGATCAAGTACCCATCCCTCCACCAGTGTCTCCTGGGCAATTTTGATTCTTTCAAAACGGTAACCACCTTACTAGGTGAGACTTCACAACACCAAACCAGCCCATCTGGCCCTTATGAACAAGACTTCACTGATTTACCCCGTTCAAACCTCTCAGAATAGTTTCCAGATGAGTGAAAAGGAAACACTGGAAAGACGCAATGGCTTAGCCAAGGTTACCCAGGTAATAAAACGGAAAAAGTAAATACAGGTCCAAAATCGACCTGGCTCTCAAACTTAAACTCCTTCCACAAAACCAAGCAGTCTCCTTTCCACGGCACTCTGGAGACAGAGGACAGCGGTGGCCTACCTTTCTACTTCGGGACGGAGTGCCTTCTCCCTCTCAAGCATGGCGATGATGAGTTTCCCCCACTCTTTTTCAATGTCATTTGGATGATAACCTTGAAGGAGTTTGATGCGGCCAAATTCTATCCAGATCTTGAAGGAAAGAAATGTTTAGTGTGCGGAGAAGTTTGTGAAAAGACATCTGTGACGGATCACACGAACAGCATTTCTGCTTACCTCTAGTAACTTATAGAGGCGTTTAATTTTTGACTTTTCTGTCTCCTTTGGTGGAATTTCTGTTTCTTTAAACTGTAAATACTGACTATAAAGTGCCTGAAGTGAGAGAGAAAAGACATGGTAAGAGCCGAACTTCAAAACTTCGCTTTCATCAGTGGGAGACTCTAAATTGGATCCCAGGTAACACCAAAACAAACAAACAAACAAACAAAAAAAAATCCATTGTGTCATATGCAGTCACCTGTATAAAACAAAACTGACACACAGGAAACTACCAATTCTTAGCTGGTGACTAAAGTAAAGTAAAAGTAAAGGCCCTCCCGTTGATCATCGATTTGCTCGAGCGGGCCCAGTAACGTCTCCATTGGAGACTTTGTTGTTACTGTGTCTGGCATATCGAATACATCACGGGTGGCTTGCCAGGCTCTGCTGTGCAGGCGAGATACTCTTGATAGCTTGCCGGGCTCTCCGAGAGGGGCGGAGGAATCGAACTTGGGTTGGCCATGTTGGTTGTGTGCAAGGCAAATGCCCTACCGCTGTGCTATCTCTCTCTCTATATATATATATTACTTTATATTCCACAAATTATCACAACCTCTGGTTACTGTTGAAGCTTCTCTCCCCGGGGAACCACCCTTTTCTGGGCCAGTGCTGGTGACAGCATCTGATCAAGCCCCAGTTCCTGTGGTCACCGAGGGGATCCAGTCTTCAAGCTTTGGGGCTACTTTATAGCTGGTAACTAGGATCACAATCACAGTCCTCCTGTTGTTCATCGATTTGCTCGAGCGGGCCCAGTAACATCTCCATCATGAGACTTGCTGCTACTGTGTTTGGCATATCGAATACGTCACGGGGAGCTTGCCAGGCTCTGCCGTGCGGGCGAGATATTCTCGGAGGCTTGCCGGGCTCTCCAAGAGGGGTGGAGGAATCGAACCCGGGTTGGCTGGGCCAGTTGCGCGTAAGGCAAACGCCCTACCATTGTGCTATCGCTCCAGCCCGTAACTAGGCTAATTGAAATCAAATTCTGATTTCAGGTTCTGTTTGGAGGATTGGGGTGGGAGAGGTTGGGCCACAACCACCTGCGCTCAGTGGTTATTCCTCGGTCCGTGCCCAGGGGTCCTTCTTAGCAGGACTCAGGGGGCATTTGTGGTGGTAGGGATCAAACCTGTGTGTAAGGCAAGCACCTTATCCATGGTACTAGCTCTCTGGCCCCTAAATCATATCTTGGTTTTACTTTTTTGTTGATGCTGTTTTGGGGTTTTTGTTTTTTGTTTGTTTGTTTTTGGCTTTTTGGGTGACACTGGCGATGCACAGGGGTTACTCCTGGCTCTGCGCTCAGGAATTACCCCTGCCTGTGCTCAGGGGACCATATGGGATGCTGGGAAGAATCGAACCTGGGTTGGCCATGTGCAAGGCAAACACCCTACCAGCTGTGCTATCACTCCAGCCCCCCTACACATCTTCGTTTTATTAGTTCCTGAGAAACTCATTGCCAGGGGCCCCCTATCTACTCTTTCTGTTTTAATGCCTCACTGACCAAAGTAACTACACAAAACATTGTGTAGTAAACAAAATTAGATGCTGGCTCCTACATAGAGAAATAATATGAACGTGCAATTATTAACTAGTTTTTAAACTATTTACTAGTTTCTGTAATCAGTATATAAGGTATAGATACAAACCAGAGAATATCCTAAATATATTTGTTTTATTGAAAAGGATCTTTATAAAAATCACTTAGCTTGGGGGGAAGGTTCAATTGTAAAATGCCTGCCAAGCATATGCGAGGTCCTTGGTTTGAAGTAAGCAGTCAAGCAAGGAAGCCCCTTAGCATTTAGTTTCAAGAAAGCACTTTTTTTTTTAAATCAAGAAATATTTAAGAATTCTAACCCCCCCAGCTCCAGGTTGAAGACTCGGCTCAAACAAGGCCTGGACAGCTCAGATATAGAAGCGAGCACCAAATAAAGGGTGTTGGGAGGATCCTCCCAGGATGGGAGATGCATGCTGAGAGTAGACTCTAGACCAAACATGATTGCCACTCAATGCCTCTTTTGCAAACCACAGCACCCAAAAGGAGAGAGAGAACAAAAGGGAATGCCCTGCCACAGAGGCAGGGGGGGATGGGGGAACGGGGGTGGGAGGGAGATGCTGGGACCCGTGGTGGTGGAGGATGGGCACTGGTAGAGGGATGAGTACTTGATCATTGTATGACTGAAACCCAAGCACAAAATTTTTAAAAAAAAAGAACAAAAAAAAATAAGAGTTATTTTTGCTGCACTGTCTTCTCCCGAGATTCTGTTCTGTGGGAACAGACAAATGAACCTAGGAGCCTGCAGAGGTCAGGACTGATTTCCTCTTTTCCTTGGAATAGCATGGCCTCATTGCAACCTGCAAACCACAGCTCCCCAAATTAAGGAGGCAGGCACCAGCGCCCAGGCCAGGCCAACTAAATGGATCTCAAGTACAGATGATGCTGCCTTAGTAGAGTTGGCAGAGATGCAAGATCCAGGCTGGGCAGAACTCAGGCACACTCACCAGTCTTGATCTCCCTGGGGACTTCACCCACAAGGTCCTGAGAGTGAGGTGCTGGGCAGGGGAGGTGGGGTGGGTGTAAGACTGCAACACTTCCTCTTTGGTGGCTACCTCCTTTCCACTGTGCAGTGAACCACTACTCCTCCCCCACATCAGCAACAGTTTGATCCCCAGTATCATACACACCCACATATACAAATGCTTATATATTTAATACCACCATATTTACTAAGCATTCATTCTTTCATCTTAATTCACACTGTTCTAAATTAAGTTCCTGTCACTCTTCAAGCAGAACACATCTCAGAAGGATTCCAATTTATTGTCTGGGCAGCTAATAAATTTATTTGCCATTTTCCCCCCAAGGTGTATTTTCTTCCCAATATTATGATCTAACCTCATAGATTACGAGCAGTGATCTGTGGCTCACTCAAACTTTGTTCCTCACTTTAAGAACCTGCATCACCCAGGAGTCAGTTTGCTCAACTATACCTAAAATCGGAATCCACTTGGAAATTATTTGAACTTGAAATCTGACAGCCTTCTGGAACTCCAAATAGAGTGCTTCTGTAAGGAAGGATGCAATGCCTGTTTGTGTTTTTGCTGTCGTGATAGATGTGGCGACAGAAGAGGGAAAGCTTTCTTGGACTGAACATATTTACCTGCACGTCAGGAAGCGTCAAACTGAGAATATTTTAAAGGCATAAGATTATCACATGCCAAGTACCCTCATGCCCTGCTAAATAAGAACCACTCCACAGATATGCTCTGTTTTTGGATAACCATAACAACTAGCTTTAATGGTACCCACTCTCTAGTATGACCGTTTTTGTGATCTCAGTTCAATCGTTAAAACAAAACTAAAGGAACTAAGCTCTACTGTCAATAATCAGGTAACAGAATCTTGACATAAAATCAGTTACTTTGCTATTATAAATTCGAATACATAAATGAGGCGACTTCAATTTCAGTGTGTTTTTCTTTTGTTTCTATACCTTTGGCTCAAAGAATTGGGTAGACCTTCATATGTAAGAGCAAATAGTTTTCTAAGTCATGAATTCATTTCTACTTCAAGTCAGAATAAGTATCTCTGAATTCTTGGTGAAATACAGTATGCATCCTTGCTATATAAAATTAGTTCCTGGAAGACAGGTTTTTGCTAGATTGTGACCACTGGCTGTCTCCTAGTCTTTGCTGTACTTCTGCAACCTTCTTCCAGCCTTCTGCCATCTGATGAGATCCAAGTATCAATAAACAAAATAAACCAAAAGCAAACTGGCAATGTCAGCTCACAACTAGCTCGGACTAAATCTTGAATCTTTCTCCAACTAAAACTAAGACACTATAAATTTCTTCAGGATGTTATTATGTTTTAATTAATGATGTTTACCTTCACACACTGTATTACAGGATGACAGATTTTAATTATGCCGACTTATTAGTGGCTTCATATGAAAGGTTTCTGCTGTATTCCAGATTATGGGACTACTATAGCATCCTTTAAAAGTTTACGTCTCACTAGCCAGAGGGATAATATAATAGATAGGGCCCTTGCCTTATACATGGTGGCAGGTTCGATCCCTGCATCCCATATGGGTCCCCAAGCCCCTCCAAGGAGTAATCCATGAGCACAAAGTCAGGAAGTAAGGCATGAGTGTAGCCAAGTATGGCCCCCAAACAAAACATTCTACAAGTTTATGCCACACATGTAAAAAGCTTGGGAACCACAACCCCTGGAACCACACAACGAAACCTAAGTACAGAAGTAAAGGAATCCTAGAGACACAGACCTTTAGTTCTACAGGATTATTAGGAAATGTTCTCTCAGACATGGTGGTCACATGGTGTCTAATCCACTGAATGAGGTAGTTCACCATATTCTGGTATTCAATCCATTTGACTTCAACATCCTGGAATTAAAAAAAATGACAGAAAAGGTTTATGTCTGTAGATATCAGCAATCATACCACTTTGGTCGGTCATCATACTATGAATTTTCATATGTCTAAACCCAAGAAAAGCCAACTAAATGCTTTCTATTTTCCACCCAGTCCAAATTCTTTCTACATACACAGCTTTAAAAACATGGGATCCAACTCTGACCACTAAAATTAATCAAAGAAGTGCCAATTCTGATCAGAGAGCATGATTGCCAGGAACACTGCGTTGAGAAGCTTTTGAGACCACATCCAAGAACAATAGGAAAAAACTCCACAGTTATTTTGGGTCCTATGCCAGGTGATCAAGAAGGAGGAGTAACGTCTTGTATAAGCTAAGGTAGTAGCTTCTTCTGCAACCCTCTGACGATCTAAGTCCACTGAGAACCTGAAACTCAAAGGAGCTGTATGATATGTAAACAAATCAGGCAGCAATGAAAATTACAGAAAACCCACGGTGGCATTTTTTAAGGACTCAGTAAGCAAACTTCTTTAAAGTGGAAGAGACAGAAAGGTTGTCAACTTCTATTTTCAATTAGGTACTAAGTGAGTGCTTATTATGTTCAAAGCACTGGACTAAGTATGGCAATAAAAATAAAATATATTAAGACAATACCTACTATCAAAGAGTTACTGTTGAGATGGAGAGGCAAGGATTGATTCCTAATACAGACCAGTTAAAGAAAATTAAAAGCAGTGCTTAATTAGGTGTTGAAATATCTGAATCAGGAGTTGAGATAAAAATCAAGTAAGCGTCTATGTGCTTCAAAATAGTCACTAAAAGCTTTTTGACAGAGGAAGTCCCTGGACAGTCAGTAGCTGGGGGGTGGTGGTAGGGAAGTCAGAAGACGAAGTAGGGAGTCTAAGGGAGTTGGGACTCTGAAAGAGAAATTGCCTCGCTACCAGGAAACTGTTCATGTTGAGACATCCCAGTGAAAGTATGTAGGTAAGTGACATTAACATACGCAGAATTCTGAAAGTCAGAATATCTAGATTAGATTTAATCCTGCGTGTTCGGTATAATCACTAAGTTTTTTCAAACTAATTTGGCAGCAGGGTACATAACAGACAGACATAATGGAGATGAAAAGCCAAGGGCAAGCTTTCATTCCCATTTCAGTGTCAAGAGATATGTCAGAAATTTTGGGGGGGGAGTGAAAAGATAAACAAGAAATCTTCACAAGAAATATTACAAAACCAAACTTCGCTGAATTGAAGGCAAACATCAGAGGAGAGGGTGAGTATGGGCGCAAGTTTCATATCAAGACAGAATAAGATTGGGGCTGGAGCAATATCACAGCAGCTCGGGCATTTGTTTTGCACACAGCTGACCCGGGTTCGATTCCCAGCATCCCATATGGTTCCCTGAGCACCGCCAGGAGTAATTCCTGAGTGCAGAGCCAGGTGGAACCCCAGTGCAATGCCAGGTGTGACCCAAAAAAGACAAACACAAAAACACTGTCCTCCCGTTGTTCAACAATTTGCTCGAGCGGACCCAGTAACGTCTCCATTGTGAGACTTCTTGTTACTGTGTTTGGCATATTGAATACTCTCGGTAGCTTGCCAGGCTCTCCGAGAGGGGCGGAGGAATCGAACCTGCCTTGGCCAGGCTGCCTGTGCACAAGGCAAATGCCCTACTGCTGTGCTATCACTACAGACCCCAAAAAACAAACAAACAAACAAACAAACAAAAGAAAGAATAAGATCTTGGAGAAAAAAGAGTAAAAGAAGAAAAATGGAAGCCCAGAAATAACAACACAGTGATGAAGAGAGACACCAGTAAAATGAGCCCACCAATATGAGCTCCTAAATCTTCAAGGAAAACAAAAACGCATCTACCAAGAGTAAGGGAGAGACCCAGGGGAGGGTGTGGGGCTCAGGGATCATCTGGAAATGCAAGCACACACAGGACTTTCTGTGCTCTTCCAGAAACATATAAGGACCTGCCAACATGACCTCTATCAAATGTATTACTGAACTGAAATATGCAGATCTCTGGGTGACCATGCAATAATAAAGACTGTAAAGCTATGTGTCAGCAGATACCATGCCCTGCGACAAAATAAGTCTGGTAAAAATCTAGCAAAATCAAGGAACTTTCCTCTGAGTCATACCTTTAAAATGAAAAAACAATTATTTCATGGAATTATGAGTTAACAAACATGAGAGTGATTTCAAAAGTAAAATGTTGGGGCTGGAGCGATAGCACAGCAGGAAGGGCATTTGCCTTGCACGCAGTCAACCCAGGTTCGAGTCCCAGAAACCCATAGGGTCCCCCAAGCACCACCAGGAGTAATTCCTGAGTGCATGAGCCAGGAGCAGCCCCTGTGCAATGCCGGGTGTGATCCAAAAAGCAAAAATAAAATGAAAAAGACAAAACTGAAATGTCCTAGAATCAGTCAACAAATAGAGCAGTTGGAATATAGTAGCAAACTAAAAATAAAAATTTCCAAATTCATAGAGCTATTACTCATATAGTTATTACACACAAAATGCTATGCAACTTATTTCAACTATGACACAGAATAGATGGTCTTAGTTATAATTTTAGTGGTAGAATGGTGCCTTCAAATGTTTATTGTATAGTTTATTAAATAGTAAAAAAATGGTCAATTAAGATATTTTAAATATTTAAATATTTAATGAAATATTTTACTATTTTAATATTAAATATTTAATTAATATTTAAACATTAAAATATTTTAGAACTACAAAAAGCATATCCAGGGCAAGGAAAAATGTACAAAGGGTTGAGCTCTGGTTCTGCATGAAGGTACCTCAGGTCTGATGCCTGGCACCTAAAGGATAAACCCTGATAACTGTAAGGTGTGCCTTAAAAAGAAAACAGACAAAAATCACATCCAAAAGTTCAGTGAACTAATTATTACTGAATCAGCAGCTTTAAGGATGGCGTAATCAATACTTACATTTGCACCGATGCCTTCACCTCCTTCTGGGACTTTGGGAAATGCATCATAGAGGGATGACACATAAGTTATTACTGATTTTTCATCAGGTGAGGAGACATCAACATCTAAAAGCAGTAACAGAAATTATTTCAAAATGCTGAGACCTTCGGAGCAGATTTTCACTTCAGTCTACAAGAGAGACCGCAAAACAGCTCACCTTCAGGGTCAAGAAGTCTAATGACACCGATTTTTTCTGCTACATAAAAAGCATGTTCTAAATTTGCAAGGTTGCTTTGAACAGCAACAGTATTCATGTCTATCAGGTCCGGCCTAGAAGGAAAAAAAAATCCACTTTATTAAGTTGTCTCACATACTAACTCAATATTACATTTCCACCTGTACCTATTTAACGTCTCTGAATATTAATTCTGAGTCTGTGCTTGATGAAATTTTCACCAAATGTCTATTATTTCTTGTTTCAGAAACTACTGAGGGGCTGGAGCAATAGTACAGCAGGTGGGGCGTTTGCCTTGCATGCGGCCAACGTGGGTTCGATTCCCAGCATCCCATATGGTCCCCTGAGCACCGCCAGGAGTAATTCCTGAGTGCAGAGCCAGGAGTAACCCCTGTGCATTGCCAGGTATGACCCAAAAATCAAATTTAAAAAAAAAGAAAGAAACTACTGTATGCCACAAATAAACGCAGCAAGAAAAGTTTTAAAAATTCAATACACCTACAAATTTCTCAACTGAGTTCTTTGTTCCAATCAACCGATTTCAGCTGGCCTCGTCCAACAATTGCCCTCAGTCCATCACAAACCTTTTTCCCCAGTGTTTCTCCCCAAGCCTGAAAACAGGCACTCAATTCAATGCCATGCACACAGCATGATCATTTTCATTTGTTTTCTGCCATCCTTACAGAGAGCTCTTCTTTGCTTCCAAGACTTTTTCCCCCCCTGCAAAGTCTTCCAAGACTTTTTTGTTCAGTCTTCCAAACCCTTGCTTTTCTGCCTGATCCCTGATCTCATTCTATTCCTGGACTAATCACAGTCAATTCAGCACTCAGGATAATCATGTACTACAAATTCACTCTTTATTACGCATACCCATTCCCGACTAGTCAACTCAATTCATTAAGAACCACATTTGAATAAACTTCGCTATTATAGCCTCAAATTGACATACGGAGGGGCACAGACCGGGCTATTCCGTAAATCTCTACAGATAAGATAGTATGTTGGTTAATTTGGAATTTGAATCGCCAATGAACAAAATAAGCACTCATTAATATCTTCACAAGTATGTGTGAGCTCCCTCTTCCTCTTTTCCTCTCTCATACACCAGACCTTCATCTCTTTGTATTTTGTGAGACTTAAACAATGCTCATACCACAGAGATTCTTTCTTTTTTGAAACTTTTTAATTGGGTCACTGTGAGATATGCCCTTGTAAAGCTGTTCATGATTGATTTCAGTCATACAGTATTCCAACACCCATTCCTCCACCAGGGTACATTTCCCAGCATCAGTGTCCCCAGGCTCCCTCCCATCACCCCAACCCCAACCTGCCTGCATGGCAGATGCCATCTTTCTCTCTCTCTATCTCTCTCTGTCTCTGTATCTCTGTGTGTGTGTCTCTCTCTATCTCTCTCTTTGTCTCCTCCCCATTTGGGCATTGTAGAAACTACAGAGATTCTTTGAAATTATCTATATACAGTAAGATTTCCCTAATGCACACATCACCTAACAATGGGAATGAATTTTGGAAAAAAAGAAAAGTATTGCTACTTTTCTTCATCATTGTGCAAAAGTCATAGAGTCCAATTTATAGACACCTAGATGGAATACTTTATTACATATCTAGGTCACATATTACACTACCTCACCCCCAACTCCTCACCAATATATTGGGATTTCCTTTTGGAAACATTCTGTTGCACTGCAAGCTGTTGTTGGCTAAAATGTCTTTGAGGAGGGCCCTGTACTCCTGATATAAAATTGGGCAAAATATGATAGTTGCAAATTTAACTCAAGACCAGAGGCCAATTAGGAAAGTTTCATTTCAAAAACAAAGCTTTCTAAGAATACAAAACAAGGTGAAATCGGTAAACCTTAAAAAAAAAAAAGTGGCATCCACCCTGACTCCACCCCTAAATCACTAAGAACTCATTCATTAACTTCTAAGGCAATGTTTCATACAAAAGCGTCCTATGTGAATCCTGGTCTGCACATTATAATCATCTGTGAATCTGGAGAAAGAGAACAAGGACTCAGAGGTAGCATGGGGAAGAAAATGCAAGAAAATTTGACAACTACTTGGGAGATTGTTTATATGAGAAACTGAAAATCATATCATTAATGTTAGAATGACAAATAATTTGCTCTTTTACTTTTCTCTGATGAAAAAAACATCTTCAAGGAAATCTAGTTACTTTTTTTCATAGCACATTATAGTTGAAATCACCATGAAAAGCAGCGTCCTCCTTATTTCCCAGGAACTTGAGAAATTCTTTAGTATTTTTCACATGCTATCAATATGATCCCCTAAAAATGTAATCCTACATTTATTATAGGAACAATAACTAGTGGCATACCTCTAAAAATAACATCTTTTATTCACATAAAAGCATTCTGAAAACTCTGCCAACTTGAAGAGGTATGTATGACAGTCTAGACAAAAACAAATATCTAAAGTTCAAAAAAATTCCTTCGCTTCCAGAGTTCAACATTTTGAAGAAATAAGAAACAGCCTTTCTGTGTTTGCCAAATCTCCTAACAAGAAACGGCACGTTGTTCTGAGAACCCTGCCATTAGCAAAGAAAGTAAACAATGACTAATCCCAGAGAGCATGAATAAAATCATTGAAGAATGAAGCTTCTGATTTCGCGAGTAAGACATAAAACTTCTTCACAGTGACAGGGGTGTTTCAGCACAAAAGCGGCTGTATAATAGATTGGGTTCGGATAAGTTATCTCTTTTATCATAGAATTTAACACATTCATGGGACAAAAGCTTAAATAGTTTTCCTCCCTTAAAAGACAACAGTAGATGAGATGACGTCAGGAAACAAAGTACAAAAAACAAAAACACCAACAACCACTTAAATACTGAAAAAGAAATAACTTCAAAGTCTTCACCACTCTCCGCCTCCAGTAAGGTAGCTCTGGTCATTTCTAACCTTCATCCTGCTTTTCCTCGGGTTCTTCAGAAGAAATGCAGGCTTTGACCTGCCTACCTCTTTCCTTCTTCAGTCTCCCTGAGGTAATATAGTCTTTTAAAACTACAGATGGTGGAGAGTCGGGAGAAAAGAGGGAGGGAAAAAAAAAAAAAAAGCTATTTTCCCAAAACAATTTTATGTTCATTCTAAGAACTTCATGTTTCCTTTTTATGTAATATTAACAGGAAATTTCTCTCCCTAGTACACTGGGCTAACCCAAGACTATGCTATACTATACTGTGTAGAAGGGAGAGACCAGATTCCAGTATTTTAGTTTAGAGGACGGAGCATTAACTATGCCGACTTCACTATTTTCTAGACACCTTTCAAAATCCTATCATGTAATCCTGTCAGTTAAAAACAACATGCATTTGTATTTTTATGGGGGGAAAAAAAGTCATTCTAACCGTTGTGAGATTATTCAGTGATATCATAATCTTTTCTGAATGATTAAATCATGGATGAATTTTTTAACATTTTTAAAACCTTGCTTTATACCTATAAAATGATTAGAAACAGTTTACCAAAAACGCAAATACAGAAGAGAACATAAAATCTAAATTTAAAGTATAAAACCAAAAAAGATCTATTAAAATTGCAAACGAGGATAAAACTTGCAAAGCGTTTACATGTAGGTTTAATGCCCTTATATTTGTCCCCAAAATGTATGGGGGAAGGAAAAATGAGTTGTTTTGAGTCTGTTGCTGAAATACTAATAAGTTTAGATCAATTCATGTTCATCTGTCATAAAACACCGATCTTAAATGAATCTTCTTCCTATACACACATAAAAATACATGTGGGCATAACTACATGTATGTGTGCATATGTAAGTACGCAAATGGAGACTTACATATAATTTAATATATACAAATGCACTCATATAAAGGTCATCACCTATACTAACAATCAAAACTGCAGCACATCAAAACTGCATCCAAAAATGCTGATACAGACAACCCAAGCAACTTTCCTAACTTGAAACCTTTCTACAGTAGCTCACACGAGAATTCTGAAGTGACTTTTGAAAGTGAATGCGAGTTCTATAATGTGATACTTGGCTGGAACTATTCAAAAAAGACTGCCTAAAGGCTTCCTCCTCAGTCTTCCACATCCTATCGTGCCAAACAACATGTTTTAAGTACAAGGAAAATAAATTAAATTCCACCTATCTGAAGATTTCACTAATTTTAATAACATCTCTCAGAGTTCTAATCAGAGTTTCAAATGCTTATCAGAATCCACATGGAACAAGGAAATAATGTCAGAGTCCTCCAAGGGCCTCAACAGACACACACCCATCTGAGATTTACAAGGAATTTTCTCTGTGAAAACAATTTGAAAAATAGGCAGGCAGTGAAAACAAAGAAGGAATTCATGTTCAATTTGAAAAGGGAAAAATTACTGGGCCCAGATTCTCCTTTGACAGGTTCTCAGCTGCCCTCCTCTTCAATGTACATTGCCAACTAGGCTGCCATACAAAATAAAGCCTGCAACGAAATGACTCTGAGAAGAGAACACACACTGATATTCAGTCGGGGACAGGGAGTGCAAAGCGATTCGCCTCTTTAAAGCCTCTCAACCCGAAGCAGGACGTTGTGTAACTCATCCTGAACTTACAGAGGAGCAAACAAAAAGCTCCAAGAGGACACACATCTTGAATAAATCACAATCTGCCATGAGACGGGAAGATTTGTATACTGAGGTCTGCCTTAGCCCAAAGCCTGAGCTCACTGCATCACCATGATGGCATCAGAAAGTGAGAACTATTTCAACAGTAAACTAATTAAACGTCTGAGATGAAGCTGACAAAAAACAAGATAAAGAAAATAAAGAAGAAACTCTGTGCCTGCTGTTGGTGGGACTGTTAACGATGGGGTTACTCCCCAGAGAAATGCCAAACTAAGCATGCATGTGCTGCCTTCCTTAGATCAAGTCACGGTCATGGTCCTCCCGTTGTTCATCGATTTGCTCAAGCGGGCCCAGTAACGTCTCCATCGTGAGACTTGTTGCTACTGTGTTTGGCATATCAAACACATCACGGGTAGCTTGCCAGGCTTTGCCGTGCAGGCGAGATACTCTCGGTAGCTTGCCGGGCTCAAGTAAATATAAGAAA